CCCCCCTCCCTCCCTCCCTCCTTCTTCCCTTCCTCTTCCTCCCTTTGAAGGTATGCTCCCCTCCAAGCTGATTGGGCGGGCAGGTTAGGGAGTGACTATGTCAGATGGCGGAGCAGCCTCGCCTTTGAACTTCCCCGCTCTCGGCTCCTAGTCCGCCGCCCCGCCGCACTCCCGGCCAGGTGCTCCGCCGGGCTGGGCACGTCCAGCCTGAGCCCCGCAGCTGGAGGCACCTCTGGATTTCCTCCACCTCCACTTCTTTTGCCCCCCCCTCCCTCTCCCCCCTGGTCCCAAGCAGGAGCCTCTCGCCAGGACCGGATTTGCCGCAGCCCCTGGCATGATCAGCTGAGCGCTCGCGGGCGGGGTGGTGCCAGGGTGCCAGGCAGGGAGCCCGGGCAGGTGAGCCGCAGCCCCGTGCGAGCCGTCGCAGCGCGCCCGCAGCACCATGTCCAAGCCGAGCGACCACATCAAGCGCCCCATGAACGCCTTCATGGTGTGGTCCCGGGGCCAGCGGAGGAAGATGGCCCAGGAGAACCCTAAAATGCACAACTCGGAGATTAGCAAGCGCCTGGGCGCGGAGTGGAAGCTGCTGTCCGAGGCCGAGAAGCGGCCCTACATAGACGAAGCCAAGCGGCTGCGGGCGCAGCACATGAAGGAGCACCCCGACTACAAGTACAGACCCCGGCGCAAGCCCAAGAACCTGCTCAAGAAGGACAGGTATGTCTTCCCTTTGCCTTACCTCGGGGACACTGACCCCTTAAAGGCGGCCGGGCTGCCCGTGGGAGCCACGGACTCGCTGCTGAGCTCCCCGGAGAAAGCTAGGGCTTTCCTGCCTCCCACCTCCGCACCTTACTCCTTACTTGACCCCAGCCAGTTCAGCTCCAGCGCCATTCAGAAGATGACTGAGGTTCCTCACACCTTAGCCACCAGCACCCTGCCCTACGCCTCCACCTTGGGATACCAGAACGGGGCGTTTGGCAGTTTGAGTTGCCCCAGCCAGCACACCCACACCCATCCTTCGCCAACTAACCCCGGCTATGTGGTGCCATGTAACTGTACAGCTTGGTCGGCTTCCAGTTTGCAACCTCCAGTTGCCTACATATTATTCCCAGGCATGACCAAGACTGGAATAGACCCCTATTCTTCAGCACATGCGACTGCCATGTAACCCCCACCCATTACACCCAAGCGGGACTGGGGTTGCAGTTGGAACTTGAATCCCTTCCATGTGCATGTGTATAGGACCTGCAGAAGCAAAAAGCCACCCGGACAGGACACTGCTGCCATGATGGCACCTGGGGAGAGACACACAAAAGACTTCTCTTGGACTCAGAGACTCTCTAGTCAAACACAGACCAAGTCCCAGAGGAGGCTCAGAGGCACTGGAGGTTCAGATAGGCGCCAGAAACTTGTAAGAATTGTAAATGTGTTAACTGCCCTTTTGGACACAGAGACAAAAAAAAAAAAAAAAGGCTAGGCAGTTTCCATTTTATTTATTATATTAATGTCTATGAGTTCTATATGATCGGGTGTTCTTTGGATTGGAATTTCCGAAGTCCTGGTATCACGATGATTATTATTATTTTTCCTTTTGCACATTAAAAGACAAGATTAGCTGTGTTATATCTATATATATATTTTGCCATCAAGCACTAATAGGTACAATTGCTTTTCATGTCAAGACAAACAAAAAAACCACAAAAAACAACAAAAAAAATAAAAATAAAAGGCTCTTTAAAAAAAGGGGGAAACGTTTATATTTAAAACATGAATATGATAGTGTTTGCTTAATTTAAACCAGATAGTCCTTCAGGTTTGTGTGATTCAGTGCAATTAGACCTAAGTTTACTTTTAGACAGAGCGTCAGGTATGGAGTCAGGCAGTAGAACTGTAAAAAAAAAAGAAGAAAAAAAAAGAAAATAA